ACAAAACATAGGCCAAAACAGCGAGTGGTCTGAATGGACTCTTCACATAAAGTGGGCGCAGGAGAGAGACCAGGGACTCTACGAATGCCAGATATCGACCATCCCTGTCATGTCGCATCAATTTCACTTGAACGTCGTTGGTGAGTCAACAGTCTTTCGCAGCTTCCTCAAAATACGGCTTGAACGAGGCTCCGCGCTTTCTGCCTTCGAACCGAGTACCAGACACTCCGGTTAACCGAACGTCGCGTTCCATCGCGAGCCTTTGAGAAAGTAGACAAATATTGACTAACCGTGATGAAATGAATCGATGATGTTGGTGTTGCTGCAAATTGTGTCTAAATTGGACGAGACGCGGAAATCGAAGTTCGGTAATTGCGTACGTGGGTTTTCCGATCTAGCAAAGTACTGATTAGTAATTAGCAGTTACTAAATATTTTGTTTTAATCCACCTGAGACTGACAAGAACTTCTTCTTGTCCATTAAAGGTCGAAAAGTAAACAGAATCCGAGCCTAATTGCAGAGACACCGCGTCTGTTCTCGTTACGCCGATCGCAATGACCTTAACCCCTTAACTTGTACGCTCGAGTTAATTCGAGCGCGCTAAACAGGCCAAACTGTGAAAATAACAATGTGAAAGCAAAGAAAAAAAATTGTTTTATTGATATTTATCATTTACATGGGATTGTAAGCTATAACACTTATTTATTCAAGAATAAAATATAGCCTTTTTCCATGGAACAAAAGCGCAGTATATCAAAATTGATTTTTTTGGCCGGTTTTTTCAAAAAAACTGTGCGTTAAGGGGTTAAGCAGGAATATAAGCTTCGGCTCGTTAGCATAGGTCATTTCTCTCGGCTGACGATACAGTGGAGATCCAGTGTAGAAAAAAACGATTGGTTTACTTCTTATTGTAGTACCGACAGCGACGATACTGGGTGGTCCCGATATGTACGTGGACGTAGGTAGCACGATAAACCTGACGTGCGCTATACACTTCAGCTCGGAGCCACCAACCTTCATATTTTGGTACTACAACGAGAGCGTCTTGAACTATGATAGTCCCAGGGGCGGCATCTCGATGATAACCACAAAGGGTACGGAGGAAACCACCTCCTGGCTCCTTATCCAGACAGCGCAACCATCGGACTCTGGGGAGTACAAGTGCAAACCCAGCAATGCCAATACGGCGTCCATCAAAGTTCATGTACTAAATGGTGAGTGTTTATCCGCGTGATTACCCGATTCTGTCGTTCCACGGCGAACTCGAAAAGGAAACGGTTTTGCTGTTTTATTTCGAATTTAACGTTGGAAGTATCGAAGCGCCTTAGACTGGTTTCGAAGGTTACATTACGTGAGTTTGCTGATTCAAAGTGAACGATTAACAAGTTCTACCAAATTTAGTAATTTAAGTTACTAGATAACTTTGTAAAGCAAGAACTGTGGCACTGAATCATTAATAATTATCTCTAATACCATTCATCTTTGCTGTGAAGGAATATTATATAAAACACGATCAATATCACAATGTCATTCATGTTTGCGATGAAAACAATAATATTACATACGACGCATCAACTACGTGATTATAAATATTGATCGTTATACAAGACACTAAAATGAAATAAGTTGAGAGTTTCGGTGTTTTGTTGAAAACGGTTTGATAATCAGGCCGAACGAGAACAATAACGTATAAAAGTAATATCAAACTGTCGACAAGCTTCGAGATCTCCGCGTCCGAAACGCAACGATCAGCTTATTAAAACTTGGCAATTACGTAGTCGCGAAGTTTTCTCCGTTTATTCAATAACGCGGGAGCGAGGTAGCGTACAGGAAACGAGTTTGAAAGCGGCAAGAATGTTTACCGTTCTGTTCGTCGTTCCTTCCACCGATACGAACGTGCCGGCTGGAATAGTTTCGTTAATGCGCATTTCAAACGTAATTCCCTGCGATTTTCATTATTACGTCCGCGGCCGGTTACGGTTCCCGTTCCGGGCATTTTTCATCAGCATTTTTGTACGGAAACTTTCGCAATGTCCGTCGTAATTACAGAATTTTCTTTAACACACCTTCCGCGCGGAAAGTTGTTCGTTAACTGCTGGAATTCTTCGCGTATCGTAAAATATATACGCTTCTACTGCGTCGTTTTAGGGCCTCTACGCAATACGATACATGTTGCTGATACATGCATCGATACTTGAGTTTCACGATACGCGTTTCATTGCGCGTAAGTTAATATCGGTGAATCGTTACCAATGCAACTTGTAACAGATGCCGCAGTCGGAATCCTAAATCGAATATCCAGTAATTGCTATTTAGCATATTTATGCAATTCAGTTTTTGCCAGTTTTAGACAACTTTGCTATAGTTTCTCTTTGCTAACTCACTAAAATGAGAAACTAATTGACGTTTGGGTTTCGCATTCCTTAAGATTGTTTAGATCTTGGTTAGGTCTGGCTTGGTTATTCAGTTAAGTAGCATAAATTGAGAAAAGTCGCTAAACTTCAAATGTATCGAATAATTCAATGTTTCACAATAATCATAGATCCTATTATTCAACCTAACACTGGAGTTAGAAGATAATCAGTAACTTGCATTTTACAAGTACGCGTATCAACTTCAAGCCCACAATAATACTAACTCTTCAACAATGAATTATTTATATTTCAAATAAACATATAACACTTCTTCGTTTTACTTCAGTTTTTCATTAAAATGCATTAAAAGTACATTCGTTCCGTATCTGACGTGTGTACTCATTACTGGATTCCTGTAATGTAGTACACGAGAGAATTTTAAAATAAATTCCACATTTAACAGGTTAATGAAACCCAGTGACGATGCAACACAGCAGTATATGCACGTGTCATAATGTGTAGAGGCTTTCAGGAAGACGAGCGGCTCCGACAAATTCGACCATGTAAATTACGAGCGTTCACGGGTCACGGGATTCTTACGAACTTCCCGGGCAGGCTGCTGACCGAAATCGAGCGGAAATTGCATTTCGATCGGCCGCATAAAATACTTGGCCGACGCGCCGCGGGCGACGTTTAACGAAGAAAGAACAGCCGAGCGGAACATCGATACGGTCCTTCGGAATCTCGGCGTTCCGGGCAACGAGAAAATATCACGAGAACTCTAGAAAAATATTTTTACGATATATATTAAACATATATATATATATGTTTCTGCGTTCTATACGACTCGTTCACTAGCAGGTTCTCCGTGAATTTTCCTTTGCCGAATGCCTTTGCTTCTGAAACTTCCGAGCTCGTTTCCGAATCGTGGCATTTTATTTTAGTCGCTGGTTTAGTTAATGGTTTCCTTTCTAACACTTTGCTTTTGAATTAAACTTGTTTAAGCGACTGGCTCACTTGTTCACGGAACGCTGTCGCGTTTCTTTGTCCTACATGTCAGAGACAAATTAATATCGGGGAAAGTGCTTTTCATTTCCGAGACACAGGATGCAGAAATGGAGTTCGCGCGTTTCGCGTGTACGAGAAGCTTGATGTTATTATGATTAAAGCTTGGAGAGACGTATGATTTAATAAAATTTTGAGATTTGAGCAATTTACGGTACACCGGCTGCAACATAAACAGACTCGCGAGCCTCTCTGCTCTGAAATGCTACATCTTCCGTGAAAAACCCTATTTTCCCCGAGTTGGCAGCTGCTCGATTTGTTAAAGTCGGACGACCGAGTTGCCCGGCTGCGTTAAAAACTTCCGCGAGTGGAGTGTCAGCTGATGCGGAGAAAAATAGGAGGCTTTAATTAATTTTCGTATCCCGTGCAATTAATAACGTGTACCAGGCTGACGAGCGTTGCTAATCATCGTTAATTTCATCTCCGGGAATACGCTCGTAGACACTTCCCTCGCTCTAATGACGTTTCCGGTCCTCCTCGGCCATTCTCCATCGAATAAACAGTATTTCGCGAATACTGTCATTTCTTCGTATGCAAATAAAAGCGTCCTTATCGTCTCCATTTCAATTTCGCAAGGTTTTCAAAAGAAACAAAAGTTTTGCAAACGAATCACCGATTCCATCGGTCGCTTTTTATTGAACGTTGCATATTCATGAGTTCGTTTTTATATTATAGCATTACCGCTGTCGACATAATTACATGAAAATTAATTGCGATCGTTGTTCATTTATTTTATAACCTGTGCCCATTTTATTCGTCGAACGTCAATTTTGGTATCGATCATCGGAAGACAGAGATAAATTACAATAGTTCGCAAGAACTGCCGTCGGACGTGATCGTAAAAGTAGTCGAGAATTTAATGGTGTCCACGATGTAATAACATCTCGATTTACCGGCCCATTAAAATCAAAGTGGGACCTCAATTATACCGAAGGTGACAGAGATTACGTAAGTTCAAGTAACTGAGACATGAACATAATAGAAGTTCGCGCAGTTCCGGGGATCACATTGTTCGTGGTTAGATACCGTGGGATCCGGACACAAAAGCTGTCTACGGACGTGTAACGAACGAAGTATGTATTACTGAGCATTTCAGAAGAGCAGAGTTAATTGGTTTGATTTCTATCACAAACAAAAACGAGGCATTGACCAATTGAACAATTAAACGTTGAAGAATTCAACAATCAAACATTGAAAAACTGCAGAATTGAACATCGGAAACCTGCAAAATTAATAGGTCAAACAATTGAAACCAATAAAATAATATTGAAATTCATATTACACAACAAGCAAAATTTAATGTAAATTGAATTGATGTTTTCGTTAGAGTAAACAATCGAGCATTCGGTAATCCAATTGCAACGCAACACGATACGTGCAACATACATGGCGTGTCGTCAATATATTTCCATGCAAAAAAGGTACTCCACAAGACAAAAAAAAAACGTATTTTGGTCAATCCTCCATCCCTGTGTACAGGCAAAACCGGTTTCACAAGGAGTCGAACTGTTCCAAAGAATTTTCGTAGGAACAAATAGAATTCACCGTGCACAATGAAGCTCCCGAATGAAGATGAACGTGTCTTTGTTGCAGGCGAACGACCGGAGGCGATGCAGACCGGAACGGCGGGACCCATTTTATCCTCGAGCTGTCTAGTGGTGTCTCTGATCATTTTGTACATATCGTCGGTGTAAAAGGAACGTCGAACGCCACGGCGGATGAGCTGGGAACTGGAAAGTTCGATTCAGTCGTGGCGGGTTCGCGCGAGAACCCAGCGAAAGATCCT